GAGGGCAGTGTCACTGGCCCTCATATGTGGGATCCGAACCGGGGCCCTCTGGCATCCCAAGCGAGTTCTTAACCATCGCGCCACTCGGCCGGCCCGGATAATACTCACTTTTAATACATTTCTTTTTGTGTGTATTGTTTTACTTTTTGCTTCTGGGATCACAGGTAATGTTCAGACTGCTAATAATATTAATAAAAATAACATTAATTTAGTTTAATATTTCTCTTTCACTTTTTATTTACCTTGCAGCTTTGATTAGTTTGTCCTTTGGAGGAGCAATTGGGCTGATGTTTTTGATGCTTGGATGTGCCCTTCCAATATACAAGTATGTAAAAATTTATTATTTTTTTTGAGTATATAATGGCAAAATCTTTCTACTCTTATACCTTAAATTTTTTTTTTTTTGCTGCTGTAGAAGTAATCCTGAGAAATGTTTATTTAACAAGGACAACTTTTTTTACAGTGTTCACTTAAAATTTGTTTGTAAATATTTTAGGACATCAAGGTGCAAAAAAAGACTTTGGCTATTGTTCCTTAACTGTTGTCAAGTCTGTAACAGTAAGGTAGCAACACAGTAGCCCAGCACTACTGCTCAGTTTTGAGCACCTACCAATAAAATTAAATACAAGAAAATTAAAAATGCCTTTTCAGCAAAAAATACCATAAGCAGAGTCCAGAGACAGTTAACTAAGAAAAAGAATCATGTAAGCAATTACTTTCCTTAGAATAGAACTTTTTAAAATCAATACGATAAATTAGTAAAATATATATATATATATATATATATAGACAACTCAGTAGAAAATGAAAGTATTTTCAACAAATATGAAAAATAACTTCAAATTGCTAATGAGCACATGAAAATATACTCAACCTCACTCAAAATTAAGTGAAATCCATTGACAAAAATAAAAGATTTAGGCAAGCAGGCACGGTCATGTACTGTGAGTGGAAATATAAATAAGTGCAGTCTTGGAAGCCAGTTTGCTTGCAGCTCTCAAAATGTATTCATTCTTTGAACTAGCCCTTCCACTTTTAGAATTTCCCATGCAAATCTACTTGCAGATGTTTGCAAAGATATGTGTACTCGTAGTTGGGCGAGAGTATGGATGTTCATGGCAGCCTTGTTTATAATAACAAAAAAAGCTGGAAGCATCCTAAAGGTCTGTCAAAAGAAAACATTGTTAAATTATGGCACATCCATCAATGGCTATATGAAGCAGTCTTAAAAAGAATGAGGAAGAGGTGTAAGTGCTAATACATAAAGTTTAAGATATATCATTAAGTGAAAAAGTACTGTGATCCTTTCATATTTTTAAAGTTTATCTATATGGAAATATGGAACGATCCACAAGAAGCTCAGTAGGAGCGTGGGAAAGAAAGCAGCGGAGATGTGGGCAAATTTGAGTTTTCACTTTTTGTGCTTTTGTGTTGTTTGAATTTTTTTTCCTTAAGCATTTGTTCATTTGTAATTTTTTCTATTCTCAAAATATTTAGGAAAAGATTTTTAGTAAAAAACATAGATCAATCTTTGCTTGTCATAAGCCTGTAAGTATAAATCTCCACTATGATGTGTAGTTTATTTTACGGCAGTTTCAAACACTATTTCTTTTTAACTTTTTATTTTGAAATAATTATGGAATCTCTAGAATTTGCAAAAATAGTACAGAGTGGTCCCCTGTGCCATTCACACAGCTTCCCCCAGTGGTATTGTCTTACATAACTGTAGTTATATTATCAAAACCAGGAAATGACATTGGCACAATACAATTGTTTGACTGTAGACTAAAAGCCATCTACTTTTGTGATGAATTCTGTATTCTGGCTGAAAGTCTTCAATATTACTTTCAGTTCATTTTCTGTATTTTGATTTCAATACTTTGGGAGTTCCTAGTGACCTAAGAAAAGTTTGAAGGTGTTCTAGCACTGTGCTAGGGCAGGGTATCATTGAAGTCAAGGGCATGAATCTTGAATTTTAAAAATTACTGTGTTAATAGTTCCCATTTTCCATATTCCTCTTTATAACCTAAAATGAAAAATATTTTTAATTTTGGGTCTTGATTCCAACTGTTATAATTTATAAAGCATTTTCTTTTACTATAAGAAATATTTCATTATTGTGTCATAACTGACTTTAGGAATACTATGATAAATGTTTCTCTATTCAGTGTTCAGGTTATAGCTTATTTTTAAAATGTATCATGCTTTGTACCTTGCAATATTTCTTTGGTCCTTATTTTTAAAAAGCATATTTTATGTGTAGGAAAATGACAGATGGCAAAAACATTAACTTATTTTTCTTTTTCTAGCCAATACTGGCCCCTCTTTGTTCTCTTTTTTTACATCCTTTCACCTATTCCATACTGCATAGCCAGAAGATTAGTGGATGATACAGATGCTATGAGTAATGCTTGTAAGGAACTTGCCATATTTCTTACGACAGGCATTGTTGTCTCAGCTTTTGGACTCCCTGTTGTATTTGCCAGAGCACATCTGGTAAGTGAATGCGTTCTTCACTAATGTAATGTAAAGTTTTTCACAGGAAAAGGTTTTTGTGAAAATGACATGAAAAAGAGATGAGAGACATAGGAACCTAGGGGATAGAGATAAAAATCTTACTTTCATTGTTGTTAACTGATAAAAATGATACTGGAGAGCATGGCTGGGATCTGCAGCAACAGTTGGCTTGCCAATACTTCGCTCTCAGAATTGGGCACAACAACTGACCGACCCAGTGCTGAACAACCACAGGCCTGCCCTGTACAGCTTAAAACATGAAAGACCTAAGGAGATCTTGTGTTGTTTGCAGGTGGGAAAGTGCAAAAGAGGAGAAGGGGCTGGGCTACATATACTGGGTTCTTCCTCCCACATTCTGCAGTCAGATTCAGTCCTCCATCTCTCGGGAAGTAGAGAAGGCAAAGAAGATAGGGACTGGCCGCCCTTCCATATGGAGAGGGCAATTACTCTTCCTGCCTCTTTAAAAGAATGTGCATGAGTGTATTTTCCCTTTGATACTTTAAATTTAATATACTCTCTAGATAAAATTTTAGATTCACTAAGAAAGAGTTGGTTCAAATTTCTTTATAAATAGAAAATCGTAGAATTCTGTGCTGCCGCCTCATAGCCCAAAATTAAGCTTGCCTTTAAAGAGTTAATCATCTTTCCATGAGTTTGTCTTTTTAAAGGAAATGGAGATAAATAAAAACAGCAATATAGAAGTACTGTTAAGTGTTCAATAGTGAAAATTATTACAAATCTTATTTGTTTTAGATCATAATTGGCATACGACTAGAGCCTTGATTTGCTTTTCATTTTCTTTCTTGCTTTTCATGTCTGTTAACTGGGTGTTTGTGTCTTATTTCCATAGATTGAGTGGGGAGCTTGTGCACTTGTTCTCACAGGAAACACAGTCATCTTTGCAACTATACTGGGCTTTTTCTTGGTCTTTGGAAGCAATGACGACTTCAGCTGGCAGCAGTGGTGAAAGAAATTACTGAACTATTGTCAAATGGACTTCTTGTCATTTGTTGGCCATCCATGCACACAAGAGATGAGGCAGCCATGCTGAATGGGTATAGCAAGCCTCTTGGGGGTATTCTAGGTGCTCCCGTCTCACTTTTATTGTAAGCATACTATTTTCACAGAGACTTGCTAAAGGATTAAAAGGATTTTCTCTTTTGGAAAAGCTTGACTGATTTCACACTTATCTGTAGTATGCTTTTTGTGGTGTCCTGCTGAATTTAAATATTTATGTGTTTTCCCTGTTCAGTTTTTTTTTTTAATCAATATGCAATGTTAAACATTTTTTAAATGTAATAACCATTCACATTGGTTAGGAATTAGATTTCTGCAGGCTGTTACTGGGCTAAAGTATATTTTTTTCTCAAAATTATTTAACTTTTCATTATTACAAAAAGTTATAAAAGTAAGTTTTCAATCAGTCAGGATGACATCATTCCCAATTTTATGCAAACATTCAGACTGTTGGCATACCTTACAGATTATATACTCAGTGCAAATATAGCTGCATTTATACCTCAGAGGGGCCAAGTATTAATGCCCATGCCCTCCATAAGGATTGCTGGGTTTGCCAGTAAGCAGGTGTTTTGTGAATTGAAAATTATTTTATGGAATTGCTACAAAGCATTGCTTTTCTTCTCAATTGTTAGAAGAACTTTTTGTTAAACTTTAAGGTAAGGGTATGAAAACAGATTTTGACATGGTTTTTATTTATGTTTATAATAGTTAGAGTGAGTTGCATTGTGGGGGGAAATGATGTTGAAATTCTGTTTTTTGAATCCTGTTTCTATTTATAAGTGATCTTTTGGATCTTCTATCGGCCTTTCATGTTTAACCATGGGTAAGATGGACATTCATGGAACTACTACTGATAAGGGAAAATTGTGTGTTTGCGTCATACATACCAGAAAACCTTTCCCATATCCCTCCTTTTAACTTATTTTATAAGATGTATATATTAAGTAAAGTAACTTTTCAGATGTAGTTTAACAACACTTTAAATTAGAGGTGTTGAGCTCACCTGGAAAGGAATTGCTATGCCATACATTCAGAGTGCCCACTGCCTCACAAGGCCTTGACATGATTAGCAAGTGACTTGTTAGTCTGGCAGATAATTCATGCATTAACAATTTAAGATTTAGACCACGGTAATTATAGTTCTTATTCTCTAAGGTTATATCATATGTAATTTTAAAATATTTAAGACACGTTTCCTGTATACCTCTCAGTTGGTTTGATTTTTAACTCATCATGATAGATCTGCTGTTTACTTTTAATGGCATTTATTGTGTGAATTAATGCAAAATAGCCAAATCCAGCTGTACAGCAGCTTCAGACACAAACCCAACCCAAAAATTTCCAGTAACCAGGCATGATCAAATTGTAGTGGTTATTTGCAGCTCACAATTATCCATACTTTTTTCAGGAGCTAGCTATGAAAATGTTCAAGTTGGTCTGACAGTATTTTGTTAAGGATATTTGTTTGTATGTTTATTCAGTATACTTACATAAAAATTGTTTTGCCTTGAGACAAAATTGAGTAATCATGACAGCTATCTTTTGTTGTTTTATAAAGTTTATTTCTCAAGAAAATGGGAACAAATTTTGGGTTTGTTTAGCTGTTTACTAAAGATGGCTAAAAGCCACAGGTTTTATAACTGAACCCAAGTTGTTACTTATAGTTGTGAGATGGGAGGCAGAATGAAATACCTGCTTGTGGTTGTCCCATTTACATGTTAGGCTGAAAATAGCTTACAGTGTTATAATGTACACTTGAAGAAGAAGGTACAGGTACACATGAATTAGCTGGTGAAACAGTTGGGAACTCAGTGCCTGTGATTTACTCAATTCTTTGGGCAGGAAGTACATTCTCTGGTCCTCCCCCATTTTCTGTTCTAGAATGTCAGTGCAGTGCACTGCAACTGTTTTATTCACTTGGCCATAGACTCTTTTTCTAAAGCTGCATATTCTTTCTGTATACTAATTGCATTGGCAGCATTGTGTCTTTGATCTTGCACACTAGCTTGACATAGTGCTGTCTGATTTCTAGGCTAGTTACTTGAGGTATGAATTTTCCATAGAATATGCACTGATACTGCATTGCCATTGTTCTATGGAAAGAAAACTTTTGATGATGAAACAATAAAGATTTTAAATATCTATTTTTAGTTTGTGGGTGTTTTTGAAATGAAAATATGCTCCACACTTCAGTTTCTGAAGTGCATTATCCATTTTAATAGTGTGATGTAAAGCAACTATGACATTAGTTATAATGTCATAGTCACTTCCAAAATAAAATTGAAGCCATAGTAATAACTATTACAGTGAAGACCTATGATTTTGAGCTATAGTAAAAGGATTGGTAATCTGAGGAAGTAGGATTTTTACCCAACCGTTTACAAAAACAGCTATAGAAGGTTTTGTTGACATAAAAAGACCACTGATGGTCTAAAGTCAAGGTTGTACTAGTTCTTAAATTTTCAGAATTTTTTTATGACTGCATGTTTTAATATATTTATTACCATTTATTGGAGTATTTTGCTATTTGCAAACATTTCAAGCAGTTAAAGGTAAAAAATTAATCTATGTGGTGGTGCAATGTGAACAGAGAAAAGTACTGTTCTCTTATCAAACATGAATCCTGTCCCAAATTGTCCTAATTATAGTCTCATTATATAGTACTTTACAAAGGTCGGATTATAGGTTCTCAGTGTCTGCTTTAGTATGATTTGGGGGGGGGGGGCATTGTCATAATCCAGATTGCTAGAGTAACTCTAGAATAGTTATATTAAATGTGACTGGATTCATACGTTTCAGATAACTGGATCAGCATGTCAAATTTAACAAGCAGCCATGCAGCATTACTGTTAAGTGATATGTACGTTTTAGGTCTCAGGATGCATTATGATGTATAAAATTGGTGGGAAATGCAAATTCATGTTTCTTCCACATATACCTGTATTGTCCTTTCTACCAATGAAGATTAGGGAGCTCTTATTTTGTTACAGGCCTCCTAATTTTCTAGCATTCCCAGGGAACAGAACATACCCTGTAAAATAAATATTGTCGATAACTGAAGCTTAAGTCAAAAAGAACTAACACTTGCTAATTGGAAACCTGAATGAAAGCAAAAGATGTTCATCTTCTGCCAGCAGTGCAATGCAGGCTTTGGCAGATATGAGTTTTTCAGAGGCTGACAAGATTCTGCATCCCACTGCTTTTAACCGTATATCTGGAGATTTGTGACTGGCAGTAGTTTCCTGACCTCTGGATTACAGGTATGGGGCCCATCTAGTGGATAGCTCCTTAACTTGCTCTCCCAAGCATTCCAATGATTTTTTTTTCTTATCTTTAAAAAAAAAAAAATCGGGGTGGCCAATTAGATCAGTTGGTTAGAGCATGGTGCTGATAACACCAAGGTTGCTGGTTCGATCCCCACATGGGCCACTGTGAGCTGCGCCCTCCTTAAAAAAAAAAAAAAATCAACTTCAGGCACCAAGACAATTCAATGGGGTAAGAATAGTGATTTCAACAAATGGTGTTAGGACAACTGGCCATCCATATGCAAAAGATTGAAATTGGATCCCTACCTCACACTATATTCAACAGGAAAAAGTGAAGCAGATTTCTCCCCACCTGCCTCTATTCATCTAGCAAAAATTTTGCAGGAAGAAATAAAAGAAAATCTGCATGTCTAAGGTTCTTTATAAACAACTGGCATATATTTCTTCCACTTATTTCCACTATATAAAAAGAACAAAATGATAGTTTTGTGGCTTGTTAAACTGAGAGAAAACATTATTTCCCTCGTACTAATAAAACACTGTGAACTTTGACTCTCCCTTTCTTGAGCTATATGATCAATTAATTTTTTACAAAAGTTCCAAAGTACTTCAAAGGGGAAAGAATTGTCTTAACAATAAACAATGTTGGAAGTGAAGACTCACATGGAGAAAAAAAAGAACCTCAGCTCTTCATACCACACACAAAACATAACTTGAGATGACTCATAGGCCTTAATATAGGAGGTAAGACTATAATAAATCTTGAAGGAAACGAGAAAAATCTTCATGCCCTTTAGACTATCTTTAGAGATACTCAAGGAATACTTAAAACTCATAAAAAGCACTAACCATTTTTAAAAGAAAAAATTGGTAACTTTATAAAAATAAAATTCTGCTTTTTGAAAGACTAAGAAAGCAAAACACAAACCTTAGAATGGGAAAAGTAATACATATATCTGACACAGGCCTTTACAACTCAGCAATAGAGCCCGTACAATAAAAATCTGCAAAAAAAATTGAAGACATTTCACAAAATAACATTTCACTTTTTAACTTTTATGAATATTCATGTACATACTTTTGTATAGATATGTTTTCAATTGTCAGTGTGTATGTAGGAGTGGAATTGCTGGGTCATATGGTAACTATATTTAACTTTTTGAGGAACTGCAAAATATTTTCCACAGCAGCTGCACCATTTAAATTCACACTAGCATTGTATGAAGGTTCCAATTATTCCGCTTCCTCACCAACTTATTATCTATCTTTCATTCTAGACATCCCAGTTGGTGTGAAGCGCTATCTCATTGTGGTTTGGATTTGCATTTCCCTAGTGACTAATAATGTTGAGCATCTTTTCATGTGCTTATTGGCATTTGTATCTTTGGAGAAATGTCTATTCAGATGCTTTGTCCATTTGTTAATTGGGTTGTCTTTTCACTGTTATGAGTTATTTATATATTTTGGATACTTAATCATTATCAGATGTATAACTTGCGAATATCTTCTCCCGTTCTGTAGGTGGTCTTTTCACTTTTTTGAGTGTCATTTGAGCACAAGTTTTAAATTTTTGATGAAGCACAATTTATATATTTTCCCTTTGGTTACTTGCTGCTTGTCATATCTAAGAAACCATTGCCTAATCCAAGGTCATGAAGATTTACACTTACGTAAATCTCAGACTTTCATAGTTTAGCTCTTACATTTAGTTAGGTCTGTGATCCACTGAGTTAATTTTTCACCATGTAAGTGTGAATCTACTGTAGCTTTATAGTAAAAGCCTTCATACTCTTCATTTTTTCAAAAATTGAAAAAAATTATGCTGTTCTTAGTACATTCATATAAACTTTAGAATTAGATTGTCAGTTTCTATTTTTTTATACATATATTTTTATTGTCTTTTTTTTTTAGCTGAGCAATCCTGCCACCTGTTGGCAGCTCAGCGGCTTCTCAGCTTGGGCCGGGACTTGAACCGCTGTTGCTCAGAGCTCAAACTCTTGAGCGAGCTCTTAACCAACTGAGCCACTCAGCCGGCCCGTATATTTTTTATTGTGAAATAAGCATTATTTTTTAATTAGTTTCAGCTATACAACACAGTGCAATAGTTATACTTTTTACCCCTCAAAATGACAACCCCCCTCCAATTTCTATTTTTTAAAAGCCTGTGATTTTAATTAAGATTGCATTGAATCTGTAGATCAATTTGGAGGAAAACTGAAATCTTAACAATTCTCTCAGTTACCTATTGCTGCATAACAAACCACCCCAAAACCTATTGGTTTAAATCAACAGTCATTTATTTAACTCAATTGTAGCTTAAAAGGTATTTCTAAGATAGTTGCAGCAAAAACCAAGTGAGACAAACTTCCTTTGAAATAGTTTTCTCTAGCCACTGTTATAGTTGTTCCAGGACACGAGGCCCAAAGCAGATTATTACAAGTATTTGACAGTTATCAACTGCCAAATATAGGCTGAGAAATTAAAACTGTATTTTCCAAAGTAAAAAAGTGAGGTCTTCCTACCCTGGCATTCTCTATTCTTCCCTGCTTAGTTTTTGTTTAATATTACAATTATGTTAGCACCATTCAAGGAAAATGGCCACAGACCACTCAATGGGAAAAGTGTCAATGTTATTTTGTAAGAAAGGCATACGGAAAGGAATATATTATGGTGCCCATCTTTAGAAAATATAAACCGCCACCGTGTTGAATGTTTCGATCCACATGGTATATCACTCAGTTTACTTTGTTTTTTTATATTTCTCAGCAAATGTTTTGTAGTTTTTAGTATATAGGTCTTATATGCATTTTTCTATATTTTACTATATTTATTCCTAAATATTTCAGAGTTTCTAATGTCATACTAGCATATTTTCTCTCAAACCTGAAGTGTGAAGTATGTTTGCATGGTTCCATGTCTTGTTCTTGTTTAGGAAACTATCCAGGCCTTTAATTTATTTAACAATAGGTAAATAGTATAATTTCAATTCATGAAAAGTAATATGAAGCAAACAAAGGGCGAGGAGGTGGGAATGCTGCGGTGGAAAGGAGGTTTATTTTGGACAAGGTGGTTCTTGGTGAAGTGTCATTTGAGCAGAGACACAAGGGATGTGAAGGAGCAGCAATATGTAGATCTGTGTAAGAACATTCTAGATTAAGAAAACAGCAATTTCAAAAGCTCAGAAATGTACTGTTTAGGCAGATAGAAAGTCAGTACAGCTGGACTGCAGTAAACAAAAGGCCAAAGGTTGAGTTGGTAAGATTAGCAGGTAAACTACACTGTCTTTTGTAAACTAACCTTAGAAGTGACATACCATCACCTCTGTCATATAATATTTGTCACACAGACCAACTTTGATTGAATATGGGAAAATGTGAATACCAGGAAGAGGAGATGGATCATTGGGGATTATCTTAGAGGCTTCTTATCACAGTGATTTTTAGTTTTTGTTCCTTGCAAAACATGTTGGGGGAGGGAAATTCCTTAATATGGCTTCACTCTGCCATATTTACCTAGTAGTCTTTTGCATAGTTGTTTTCATGTAAAATTTTAAACCTACACAAAAGTAGAGAAGAATATATTGAGCTCCCATGTCCCCATCATGCAGTTTCAACAATTCTCAATGTGTGCCCCCCATTTCTCCTACCCCAGATAATTTTAATGTAAATCCAAGACATCATTTCATCGGCGGGTATCTGTAAAATGTGACCCTTTTTTTTTAACATAACCACAATATTATTCCACCTGAAAAATTAAAAATAATGCTTAAGTCCACACATTTACATAACTATATAAATAGAAAAAGATACAAAAAATAATATGCACTTAGGGTTAGTTACATATTTATGAAGTGAGGGGGAAGTTATCTTTGTTCTTTCCTTC